GCATTGCTCCTCTACATTGCGCTGGTATATGTAGAGTAGGATTCCATGTGTAGTTGTCCACTTACTCCTGTCCTTATGGTTATATGCTTCTAGCCACTTTAGTGGTTTTTCCTTACTGAATAGTTCCATACGTTCTGATTGTCGACCAGGATCAGGCTTTGCTGGCTCCAGGGGTGCCTGGTCATTATTCTGAGACTTCTTCTGTATCATAAACATTAAGTCATTCATCTGGGACTGTATCATCCCCAGATCTCTTTTGTGCTCTTTTTCGCAAGCTTTCATTTCGTTAACCAAACTTTGTATTTCTGACTGCAATTCTTCGGGTATTGGTTCCTGGTTCGACACAGCAGTTGCCATAAATTCCATTCCAATATTAAAGTTGTCCATATCTGAACTCATTGATGATTGTTCAAATCCCTATGCTGATTAAAACGAAATTACGCTTTGACAACTGGATTGTCTAGAGCTAAATTTCCTGTTTGTTCATTCCAATGGTGGAGCAAATGATGGCATCCACTTTCTCAAGCAGTCTTATCTCAACTAAGGTGCTTACCAATGCATACCTTTGATTGTGAGGTGCCCTAAGTCACAGTCAACCAAGACTGTATTATACTTTGTAACGGGCAAGAGTGTGAAAGATATAGTTTAAAATGTGACAGAAACCGAGTTGGTGATAAATAAGTCGATTTATTAAACTATATGAGGAGAGAAGAGAACTCTGGCTTCAACTAACAGGTACTTATAATGACTGATCCACTGCGTGTATCTACTAATTGATGGCTTTCCTCCAGATATCATACTCACTAACTAGCCACGTTTCGTTGGGTGTTACTTAGTTGTAACAGCAATCTATCGTCCTGATTAGTATTATCGTTTTGTCTAGTTCCATCTCTCTCTCCCCGTGCGACTTTCTTGTAAATAATCTAAGTATTACGCTTAGGTATCCACCTAAGCTCATACAACGGTCAAACTGTGACACATACAAGACAACATGGTGATGAAAAAAAGGCTAAAAGTCACATTTACACCAGGTACTGAACAGATTGCAGATATATTAACAAGACAGTTACCTAGGGACCAGTTTGTAAAGTTATTGTCCGAGCTAAGCTTATCTTATTAAACGTTGAACAAATTGTATGGGCAATATTAATACTACAGAAGTTCACTCAGCAGGTTATGATTGTTAAAGTTATGAGCTTGAGCGAAGATGGAGGTTGTAGCAGAATCAGTGTTGGCGGTTAGACCAATGCAGTAAGTCTTGCATGAGGTTGTGAGAGGAAGATCCGAGTGGAAACAATTGTATTTAGATGTATGGTTCAGAGTAAAACCGAGATGATAAGAGTGAGGTTGCGTGTTCACATATCTTATCAACTATGATTTTTGACCAGTATTTATCAATCTCCATGGATCGTAAGTTATGATCCATGTAGATGTAGATCTATGTACATACACATATATGGGCCAGGAATATAAAGCTAAATACATGTGTATTGGTAATAGATACGAGAAAGCTATAACCTGCATTTAAGACATAGTCATCCGCTGGAATTCTAGTGTGAAATAAACGCTAATGCGCATTAAACTTTCGGTGAAGGATGTATTGATAACAATGATATAGAATGGGGAATTTGATAGTCAAACTAGCCGGACTTACTAATAAGTTATTCTTGGCATTCCAAGATATATCATATTTCAACAATGATGGGACTAGGATAAGAGTACTCTTGTGCCACAATGCAGTTTCATTTTTCTGTAGGACTACTGAACTCTTTAAGAAGAGATGTAGGGGTCACACTTTTTAAGTATTGTGGAAGTTAATGAGGCTCTAGGATATTGCAGCATGGGGGCGTGTCAGGAAATGCTGCTTAGTCAGCTAGTTGGTCAAATGAAAGGTGTCCACATCCTTAGTATATAACACCTCTATCACTGCACACCCTTGGTATCTACATCCATACATTCTCCACATATTGCATATAACCATCTGCATTATCTTACTCCCGTGACTATACCTTCTCAATATCTCAACACACACAAAGACCAGGAACTGGAAGGATCATGTCGGTTATAGCACATCAGCTAAACTGTCACAGATGTCAAGGTGATGTTTTAACAGCGTTTCTCAACCCCGATCTCAACATAGATCTTTTTATGAAGATGCCAAAGGGTTTCGAAAGAGATGGTCATATTATACTCTTGTGCAAAGGTCTGTATGGTATAGAGCAAGCTGCAGCATTATAGTACGATAATGTCAACTCTACCCGGGCATCACCAGGACTATTTAGAACAATTTCTGATGTTTGTTTGTATGCCAATCAAAGCAAGGATCTATTTGTTGTGTCACATGTTGAGAGTTTTCAGATATTAGGACCAGACATTGATAAAATATATGATCCCATGCATGCACTGTACAAAAAAGTAAAAGCTTTAATCTGTCAAAACAAACCTGTTTCTAGGAATAAAAATTAATTATCCAGAAAAAGATACGCTCAAGCTAATACAGGGACAGTATGCCCGGACGCTCTTGAATAGACACGCGCTCTCTGATTGCAAGCCCGCCAATAAATCTCTGGAGAATTGATTAGAGCCAAATACCTCGCAATGCACACTCCAGACTAGAACTGAGTACAATTTAATTGTTGGGGGTCTGCTATAACTTTCAAACAATACCCGGCCGGATATCGCCTTTACAGTAAATCATATCGCGCGTTTCCTGATAAATGCCTGCACGGAACACCTACAGGCGGCGCGTTTTGTGCTCCAATATATTGCCAAGGACCCCAATCAAGGTATTACTTTCAGGAGGTCGAAAGAGCAGCCGGTATTAGAAGCATATTCTGACGCAGACTTTGCCGCAGATCCATCCATCTGTCGCTCAACAGCTGGCACACTTCTCAGATTAGGAGAGGGGCCAATATTGTGGAGATCGCATTTACTGCGCAAGGGTGTTTTATAATCAACTGAAGCAGAATTTCTAGCTGCAACAGAGACTTTCCGTGAACTTAACTGGGTCAAATCATTACTTTGGTGTTGTGCTGGTGATGGCTAGGATTGCGATGCACAATGGTAATGGTCACTGAGGGTGAAGGAAGAACTTTCCCGGTGGCTCCATGATGAGTAGAGGAACAATGGAGCACTGAATAGAAGGTGTCTCTAGATTGTACTGCCAGATGGAGGAGACTAGAATATTCCGTGGTACTGTTTTGGGTAAATAAGGCGAGAGTCTGGCTACCTCAGATGTGTATATAATTAGCGCTTTAAACCCCCAAAATCCTCATAGTTCTGAATATCAAATATATCAGCAGTTCATATTTGTCAGATTGGAGTCTAGACTTTCGAGCTGGAGCGAATTCGAAGGACTAGAAGAGGTTCAATGGACCGCGAAAGATGACTGAAGGTATACTAGAGATAATTTGGAGGAAATTGAGGTTTGAAAGATGGCTAATATAAGTATTTTAAAGGTCTAAAGGTTCGAGAGGGTACTAATGATAACTAAAGGTACTAGAGGTAACTAGAGGTGACTATAGGTGACCAGAGGTGATCCGAAGGTGGTGGTTGTGACAGAAGACTAAGCGTGAAGAACTCTATAACTACAGGCCAAGCCATCATACATATACTTGCTTTCCTCCTACTAGCTCATCATAACATAGGCCCTAAACTAGTACCAACATAGTACCCAGTGCCAAGAACTATTCTGTTGTCATAGCAACATCAGGAGAAGGGTAAAATTAGAAACTAAAGTTAGGATGGGAAGGAGAATCCTTACAATATTGATTCTTCGATAATCATCCGTAAACCTTCTGCCAATTAACCTCTGTAAGCTCTTACCTTTACAACATTTGGGACTTGGGAGTTGAAGACCAAATTGAAGGCATCCAAGGCACCAGTCTTTACATAGACAATTAGTCTGCCATATCACCAACTAAAAATCACGATAACCATAGACGCACAAAGCATGACGCACCACAAAGTTTCTACTCTTGCAAAAAATTTCAGGATGGGCTCATTGCTGTATTTTATATACCAACAACCGACCAACTGGCTGATGCACTAAACAAGCACAAGTCACTAGTAACAATCAAATTAGTCTCAGGGGCACTCTATTGTTAGCTCACTCTTTCAGGCCATATTTGGGGTCCTTAATAGTTATCACCAATAGGGGGGTGTTATGATGTGCCAGGGGATTTGTCAGTAGCTAGCTTAGTAACCTAGGCGAACCATGTACATAGATTATAGAGTCCATACATCTGACTAGATGGAATAAACCCAAGTCTGCAGACATTAGTTCATTGCTCCCAACCCACGAAACTGTTCTCCTCTTAAATTGCTAGTCACCCACATTTGTCTATTAAGATATCTTCTGCACGCTCATAATCATAACAATATCTCAATTATGTGGTGCAGACTCAGCACTTAAATTGGCACCTCTTTAAAGTCAGGCAATCTTTGCCCGTGGCTGTATCAAACAAATTGTGTATAAGTTTGAGACTGGGAGATTCTTGAAGTAAATGAGCAAGCATCAAGACAACCATTCACGAGTCATACGACCCATCCTTACGATAGCGAAATAGATAACCAATCCTACAAGCTTATAAGCGATTAGGAGTGTGCAATCCAGAATATGAGAGGAAATCGTGGGACAGCAGTCTGAGGATAACAGGACCTCTGTGGGAAGCGTTGCGTGATAGGAAAGAGTATCTCATCCGAAGCGTCTAGCTCTGCGAAAGAAATTGGGTTAATATAAAGGGAAATTCTCCATTATTTAGGCATGTTTACATTTCGGCCAAGAAATTTTGAAGGATCACAGATCAAGAGAAGAGACGAAAAGAATTACAAGCTCCACGCACCAATATCTTGCAATTGCCCATATTAATAGGCACTGCAGTCCAGTAAATAGATGGCTAGGATAGATTTACAAATATTTAAAATGGCCATCGCTCAGCATATTTTCCGAGCGCTACTATTGTCCGACAAATTTCATCGAGCCTAACTGATTAGTTATCATGCGCTTTTCTAGCATAGCCATAATTTTTCAAAGCGCTAGCATCTTTACAACAACTCTAGCTGCTCGCAGGACCAGTCACTTAGATGACCTATTTAAGGTATTTGATTGTAACGGATACTTTATCAGGTACCCTCAATTTTCATCTTCACAACGTTCGGAAACATTTCATTCGGGCCAAGGTAGAATGTCCCGTTCTTGGTCCGCACAATTAGACTACTTGCTGCAGAGACCTGGGGATGAGAGAGTTGTATTGTTTGGAAATGGCGCCAGCCATGCTCTAAAGTATTACAGCCTCGACACTTTGGCGACTGGTAATATCCCTATATTACGTTGCCACGCCAATGCTGACATTGATGTCCAGGAAATTTTGTCGACAGTTGGATTAATAATATGGAATTCATCATTGCTATCGACAATCTTGATCGTGCTTGCGGTATAATCATGAAATTTACATCTCGCAATTGCTCAAGTGAAATTTCGTGTCCACCACAAGAAAGTTTTTCGTTGTGCTCCATTACATATTGATATAGGTACAACCTTACTAAGCAAATGGGCGGTTATAGTTTATGTTGCTTGGTATTCCTGTCATTTCACATTTTTAAGCAATCTAGGACTTGTGGGTCTTCTCTGCCTATGTATCAAATTCAATAGTGAAGTAGGAACATATTACTCTTCTGTAACAGTTTGACATTTGTTTTAGCTTAGGCAGATACATAAGCATAATATTGAGGATTCTTGCAATTAGGCTACATGGGGGGAGATGAAGCTGAACGAAACAGCACTACTAATCAGGTGGCTGAGAGTTATTACAACCTAGTGACACCTGAAAATACATGGCTGGGTATAAATTATTATGCCAAAGGACAAGCTATTAGTCTGTAGATTTACGATGATGATCAACTCATAAAAAACCTGTTAGAAGTAGCAAGAGTTCTCTTTTCTCCTAATATAGTTTAATAAATTGATTTATTCATCACCAACTTGAATTCTGTCACATTTTAAAGTTCATCATTCAATTCTTTTGCCCATCATTAAGTATATTGTAGTCATAGATCACTATGATTTAGGGAATCTTTAACTATTAGTTTTAATGCACATGGATTCTAAGAACCTACAATGGGCCCAGTAATGAACAATTTAAATATTGTAATGGATTTCATGGAAATTAGTTTATCGAACCAGGAATCTATCCCACACAAAGAAGTAAATTCAGGAATGCAGCAACTGATCGAAGAAGTAAGATTGAGAGAAATGGAAAATAAAAAAGATCTGGGTATGCTACAGGCTCAGATGAACAAAATGATGGAAATGATGCAATAGCAATTGCAGAATCAGAAGAGATCATCCCTGCAATTATCGAGAGCTAAATTGGGAGGCCAATCAGAACACAGATATTATCTTGTTGAAAAAAAAAGCCCAACAGTCACTCTGGGATAGAAAAGGTAAATCTTTAGACTGGGTTCATTAAGGGATTAGCCTGCAGGCGCAGTTTGGCTAGATCGTAATAGGTTAGACTGCCTCTCCTCATTACCTTGCTCGCCATGAAGTGTTGTCCAGTTGTCTTTTCCAAACAATCAATTTGATAAATTTATTTTCAACAACACTTTTGACTGCCTAACTCTCAAGGCGAGGTTAGGACAATGTTCCACAGGGTGCGTATGTGGTCTAACGAAGATCTAGGTGGTAGATAAAGGTGATGAGTGGGTCGAAGGGATGACTGGTCTTCTCTAGGAAGAGACAAATAGGTAGATAGTAGCGATAGAGGCTACACGTGGGTCTTGCTGATGAAGAGCTAGAAAGAGATAAATGGTCTTCCCGAAGAAGAGATGGGTAAACAAATGTATTGTTAAGGTAATTGAAGAAGACGTTGCGTGAAGAATAATGCTTCTTCATGCCGAGTATTTATATACATAAAATTACCAAATAGCACGTAGCACTCAGCCCCTATGCCCAACAATCTGCTACACATCACCTAATGAAACCAGCCCATTCTTATCAGTTTTCCTTGCTGGTTTTAGAAGTGCATTGAACTATTATTTGTGTTTTAACTTAGCCGTCCGCATGGCGTTTCATAATACGCTATGCCACAATGATCCATGAAACTAACCAACAAAGCCCTTATGTCGTGGGGTAGGGCCTAGCAAAACTCAGGCACAAGCCTAAGGGATTTGAATACTGGAGGATTAGTCTGAGTTAGGGCTGAATGATGATGGGAGACCCAAACATTCTACATACTAATGGCTGAATGGTTATAGAGCTAAGCTTTGGCAGAGAGCGGAGAATCCGAGCAGCTAGGCACCTTGGCCAGAGGTATCCTGCACATTTTGTTCTTCATATCATTCATTTCATTTTCATAATTCGAAACCTTGGCATAAAGCCAGATTAGTCATATAGTGGCTTACCCCATTTAATTTCCTCTCCAGTTTAAGATTATCTTTTGTATTTAGACCTAGATAGTTCGTGAATTACATATATCTTACGACCCTTACACCTTGTTTCTTAAAATCACTGTCAATTCATCCTCTAATCTAGCAAACTATGTCTCTCGAAAAGTCTGCTTCAGAAACCAAAGTTCGCAAGCAGCTAACTTGCGATCAATGGAATGATATAAGAACCTTAAGAAAACTTTGCTTGGCACCACAAAATTTAATCAAGAAACTTTGCTTCAAAACAAGGCAAGTACTGTTGAAATATGATATATCTTAGAATGTCAAGAATAACTTAATTGTAAGTCCAGCTAATTTGACTACCAAATTCCCCATACTATATCACTGTTATCAATACATCCTTCACCGAAAGTTTAATGCGCATTAGCGTTTATTTCACACTAGAATTCCAGCGGATGACTATGTCTTAAATGCAGGTCAAAGTTTTCTCGTATATATTACTTTCATGGATAAATAGGGCGGAAACTAGGATGGTGTCTCATGGGGAGTTCCATTCTAAAACACAACTCGGGGTTAGATCAAGTTCTCAAACAATTAGGACAGGCTCAGGAACATAGAGTCGTTTCATAGGGATTGCGTAGTAATACTGTTCGAGACAGAGCTTAGGACTGTCCTATTATCTGATGTTGTTGTGCTGGTGATGGCAGAGACTAGAATATTCCGTGATACTATTTTGGGTAAATGAGGCGAGAGTCAAGCCACCTCAGATGTGTATATAATTAGCGCTTTAAACCTCCTAAATCCTCATAGTTCTGAATATCAAATATATCAGCAGTTCACATTGATTCATCAATAATCATCCGTAAACTTTCTGCCAATTAACCTCCGTAAGCTCTTACCTTTACAACAGGTTATGAGCCCGGCGCTCGATAAGGTTACAACTGACTGATCAGACTATCGAAATAAATTTGTGCATTAGAACAACTGTGAACCCCTTCGACAATATACGCCGAGTTAACTTGTCCGACAGCACATCATTCAGCGATCGAACAGCCAACACTAGTGAAATTCATCGCCAATTATGAAGCAATAATGTCGCATTACAAGTTTAAGCTACGAGCATGGATTAAGGGGGAGTTCGAAGCACAAAGTAGAATAATTCAGCGCCTCGACGAAAGTAAAAAGCCACAGGGCTGCCAAAAATACTTATCAAAGGTATTACATTAAATTACAGCCAGAGCTAATGAGGTCGCAAGCATCCACCCCCATTCAGAAGCCTTTCACAGATAAAATGGCTAGACAAATGGAGGAAAATCAAGGCAGAGGCAAGTAATATCGCCCTGGAAAGAAAATAGGACCTGGAGGAAAATGATGCTTTCTCATATCCAGACGCAGCAGCAGCAAGAAAGGACGAGAATAACCGAAACCGACAAAAGAAACATCGCGAGCTTAACATATCTCAGAAAATCGATGATAAAGATCAGGATTCGGACGATCCATGTACACCCTGCAAGCATGACCACGCCAATAAGGACTGTTACAAACAGCATCCAGAGCGGGCACATAAGCGCTGATTTAATAGAGAAGCACATAAAGGTCACAACCATGAAAAAGCAGTATTAATAATCAGTCATAAGAACGAAACTTCTGAAGAAGAAGAAAGCTGCTAATATATAAAATTAAATAAAAGAATTATAATCAGAGGATTATATTTAAACAGCTCAGTCAAGAAGAAAACAGCCAACAGGCTATACCCCGGTTACATAAAGCTCGAGGAAGAAAAGGAACTGAAAGGCATGTTATGACTGGAGTTATATCATTGGTCTAGAGGAGCCACAAAAGGTAGAGAAAAGAAAAGCAGCAAATGACACACTAGGAGCACCAATCGAAGATCACGATCACCAAATGGGGAGATTCTCAATCAGATGATAACAAGTTACACCATTCCGAATCTACGAGCTTATATAGACCAGCTATATCAATTCCACCCGCACGGAGATGGTTTGAGAGTACTCACCATCAGGGGGAGTGTTGTGCTGGTGATGGCAGAGACTAGAATATTCCGTGATACTATTTTGGGTAAATGAGGCGAGAGTCAAGCCACCTCAGATGTGTATATAATTAGCGCTTTAAACCTCCTAAATCCTCATAGTTCTGAATATCAAATATATCAGCAGTTCACATTGATTCATTAATAATCATCCGTAAACCTTCTGCCAATTAACCTCCGTAAGCTCTTACCTTTACAACAGATGTACATATATACCCAGCGTGAAGGAGTATTCTTCTTCACGCAACGTCTTCTGTTTATACTCATACCTATTGTTCACTTACTTATCTCTTCTCTAAAGAAGACCGCGGTTATTGTACCCTTCTCACCTACTACTTATTTTACCTTTACTTCTTATGTGAACCCTATACCTAACGCTGAATTTATACCTCCTACTCGTAGGAATCACCACCATACTCCACACCTGTAACCTACTTGTACCAAATCCGTACCCTACGGAATACTAATAACACGGCTCCTTGAGAATTACCGATACACATGTATTTAGCTTTATATTCCTGGCCCATAAATATATTGATAAATACCGGTCAAAAACCATAATTGATTAGAGATGCGAATACGCAATCTAGCTCCTATCATCTCGGTTTTACTCAGAACCATACATTTCAAAACAATTGTTTCCACTCAAATCTTCCTTCTACAACCTCATGTAAGACTTACTGCATCGGTCTAACTGCCGACACCAATTCCGCTCTAACCTCTGTTGTAATTCTAATAGTTCTGCATCTATTACACTAGTCATGTAATATCTCGTTTTCGTTTCCGTAATTCGTATCATTTAATACTGCGCCACATCTATTTTCTGTAATAATAATTAGTCTTGGCGCTTAACACAAGATATGTTGGAAATTATGGTATATGCATGATTCTGTCTTACACTCAGCTAGCTTGGGGATCTACTGGTGGTCAAGACATACTGTCACCATGATAACATCGCCATACTGAGACATGGGCGCATATCCTGGCTTATTTCTAAATTCGTCTCAGTAGGACTAATGCTTGTATATATATTTAGTGTTCTTCTCCTTCAGAAATATTCAGTTCATTACATTTACTGAATATCTCTG